CGGTAATTGATCGTTTGGACAAATAAGCACTTAGACGACATTTTCTCAAAACAAGTCATTACTTATAACAGAATAAACAAATACATATTGACTACTCTCCCTAACACCAAAGTCGTTGAACAGGTTTGTTATTACGGTACAGCGGTCATACACCTCCGCCCGGACCCTGACATTAGCTGCTCTAAATATAGTAAACTTGTTATAGAACTTGTCGCTACTCGCATTTTTAGGCTTAAACCCATTAATATTATAAATGTGAAAGTTTGGATGGATGGATGTTCGTTACTCAATCACGCTAGAACAGCTGAATGGATCTGGATGAAATTTGGCACAGAGATAGATTACAGTCTGGAATAACACATAGGCTTTTTATAACGAAAAAATATACGGTTTCTGTGGAATAGATTTGTTTTTGTTTTTCACTTGGCACGAACCCGAGCATAGCGAGGATGAGTCGCTAGTTAAACATATAAAAGAAATATTAAATGTGTGTTTTTACTTTTTTATAAAACGGTCAAACTCATTTTGTTTTTTTTAAATGAGTAGAAGACTTAAGTTCAGTTGAATTAACTAGATTCCATATAAAGAAGACAACTTCAAGTATCGCGGGCAATTTAAAAAAAAACTAGTTGTTAGTTATTGTGCTTCTGTGCGCTTCCAACATAGAAAAAGAATACTAATAATAGTATTCTTTGACTAAAGTAGTCGTATATATCTTGATCTTAGCATCTAAAATATAACAATTAAAGAACAAAGAAAAAAAACTAAAAAGGTAAACAGCTATTTCTTTGACAATGAATTTTGAAAATGAAAAACAATGATTAGACTTACTTTTTAAAAACTAGTTTTACTCGCAGCTTCGCTCGCTTATTAAGCAAGAGTGGAACAAACACATCCGTTCGTCCGAACATCCATTCCGATGATGCTATCTATTCTTACCTTTTATTGAAATCTGTTCAGCTGTTTAAGCTTGAAAAGATAACATAAAGACATACAAAATTGCTTTAAAACAAAGAGATCTGTTATTTGTGTTAATTTTAAAATCTATGGTATATAATATATGTATATGGTAGGCAGTGGTAGCCCAGTGGTACCTGGGATTTGACTCGCTTCAATTAGTTTCCCAAGCAAGCCAGAGAAACAGAGTGAAGCGAGTTCAAGTCCCGGGTCTCGCACCTCTGTTATTTTCATGTACGAATCATTTCCAACATGATCTTACGGTTTAGGGAAACATCGTGAGGAAACCTGCATGTCTGAGAGAACCAAGCCAATTTTCAAAAGATATGTGAAGTCACCAACACGCACTTGGCCAGCGTGGTGGACTACGGCCTGATCCTCCTCGTATTGAAGGGAGGCCCGTGCCCAGCGGTGGGATGTTAAAAAGGGCTGAATACTATTAGTATTATACCTAAATACTTTCATATTTATAACACTAAGTATCGATAGATCTCATTTTAGCAGTTGAAAAGAAAACCTCAATGTTAAGTAAGAAGCACTGCAATTATATGTACGTGTCTTAGTATCTAAATTATGATAATAACAATGAAAATAAATAAATGAAAACACCTGTAAGCGAAGACGTAGAATGGATCTAGTTTTAAAATAACATTACCATGTACATGCGGGTATAATCACCGCAGCAATGCATCGATGTAGTCATACTGTACCAATAGGTATGTCTATAATATTAATATCGTACTTATTAATGGGCTTGTATCGTTGCAAGCAAAGAGGTTAATCTGATGTATAATATTTAAAGGTTCAAATTTGCAATTAGTATGAAATGACATTAAAACCAACTAAATAATTGCTAAAAATATAATAAATATTAATAGAGTGATATAACAAGTATAGTCCCAAAAGAGAAGTGCGTGTGTCCAAATGGCAAAAATGGCAAATCAGTTTAAGTTTGATTCCATTTAAGGTAAAAGTCTGTTTTGATCACGCAAAAGTCTGTCTTGTTCTAATTAAAACACGTCAAAAACCAATTTTGCACAATTTATATCAATGGCAATTTTTATATTTTCTAGGTCCTTTATTCTCCTTACTTCGATATTATAATTATTATAATTATGCGTAACTAATATTAATATTATAATTTATAATTAATTAATGCCAAAGAGTTTTTGTTAGTTTATAGGCATCAAGTAACCGATTGATACGTTAAGAGATAGTTTTTACGGTATGAATAAATGAATAAAGAAATATATGGTTTGAACCTGAAAGTTCCGGTAAATAAAATGATTTCTTAGAAAATTAAAAACAATTATTTACAAAACATAAAAATTTAGTTTTTAATGTTACATTTGTAATACCTAATTAAAGTAAGAACTTGCGAAATGTAATATAGGGCATAAGGGAAATGAAAATATTAGTTATAAATGAATGAATGAATTTGACGACACGTTTGGCTCAGTTTGTAGTGACCCTACTTGCTGTGTCAGCTGTCGCGTATTCAAGTCCCGCGTAGGGCATTCATTTGTGTGATGAGCACGAATGTTTGTACTCCCGTCGTGAGTGTTTATATTTATAATATGTATGTATTTAAAGTTATATATGTGTGTAGTATATCAACTATCCGGTATCCATAATACAAACCTCATCATGGAACTAGATGGTGCTGTGTGTTAATGTCCCAACATATTTGAAATGAAATAATATTTGCAAATTAGAAGGTCAACATAATTCTAAACTATGTTGTATAACTAAGTATCTAAACTGGTAAACAGCATTTAGAGACCAGTTATTTATATTATTGGCATTCACTTCAACAGGCTCTATCCGGGGCTAAGGACATGCACTAACCCTTCGGCCAGTATAACGCACTTTGTGTACAGGCGAGAATAATATTTCTAGGATAACTTAATATTTTAAAGTACCTAAGCCGAAATCCTACAAATTTATATTTCTAAATGCATATGTTAAAATAAAATTTAGAAATAAAATGAAACTTTATTCAAATAGACTTATTACAAGCACTTTTGATTCGTCAATTTAAAGAGCGTCAGTGTAGTCAGTCCGTGAGGAAGCTACCACCGGCTCGGGTAATTTATTTTGATTTAATAAATATCTTATTTGCTTTTTGTAAAGTATAGTCAATTATGAGTCTTTTTTATTTTATTTGACGTAACGTAGTAAAATAGTGAAGAAAAAATTCAATGCTTTACTAAGTCACGCTCTAAGAGTTTTGTAAAGTTATATGATTTTTCTTATTTTTTCAATCCAGATCTAATAAAATTATTACCGTTTTATAAGTAAGTAGATACCATTGCTAATAATTTTTAAAGGTATTTTTGGATTTTATCATCATCTAAATAAAATATTAAATACACTTATCTTTTTTAACTTCACAGCTTACGATGATGTCGAACAATCTGATAAAAAATATATAAATAAAATTCTTTAATTTTAAGTCTATGCTAGCGACTCACCCATGCTCCGCTCGGGTTCGTCTCGTTCGTATGATGATAGCTGGTTATCGGGGTCAACATTTAGGATACTTTTTACTGCGGAAAAATATCTCATATCTGAGAAATAAATATCTACTAGTGTTATACATCATAAAATTAAAATCAAGTAACGTCTGTGTGTACAGACAAGTATAAATTATTATTATTATTATATAATTATATATAATATGTATTAAATATATAAATATATTAAAATCTAGTTAGTAGTTTCTGTAAAAAAATAATCTTAAATAGGTTCATCATATGGAACAGTAATTTTTTCTATACATAGTACATAATATGTATTTACATGCCAGGGTCATTGGAAAATGTCCTTTGTGTTTTAAATAACGCTAACTCACGTGCTTGTCGCAAATAATACCCATAGGTATTTATAAATATGTATTGCTAGTTCTATTAGATACATAACATATACTGTATATCCATACTAATATTATAAATGTGAAAGTGTGTTTGTTTGTCTTTCTTTCACCACGAAACGGAGTGACGGATTGGCGTGAATTTTTGTGTAAAGATAGTTGGAGAGCTGGAGAGTGACATAGGCTACTTTTTATCGCCGGAGATTATCTCACTCCCAAGAAAAATACGTCATAACTTGGTATTAATGGTCTTCAATACAATTAAATAAATACATGTTTTAGCATTTTTGAAATTCATCCCATAGTAAAGGTAAAATAAAGGATAAAAGTCTGTATGAAACCTACCTTTTTAAAGTTTTTTTTGTACTTTTAGCACGAGCGAAGCAGCGCGTTCTGCTGGAATGTACTCGTATATATTCTAAGTAATATATTACTAATGTTATTATTTTATTTGTATGTTCCATCATATATGTTACAAGATGATACTTCAGAATTTGAAGTTAAAGATTTGCTATATTATTACTGACTACCGACTTACACTCGCTTTGCTCGGATGCGGTTGCGGATGCTGACCTCATGGGTACGCGGATTTTGTTCACAATTTCATAGATTAATTGTTTTTCGCGGAACCTTTATTCTTTTTCTAAGATAAAAGTAGCCTAAATTAGTCCTTATAACATCAGCTATCTGCCAATGAAAGTCCCGTTAAAATCGGTCCAGCTGTTTCGGATATTAGTCGAAACAAACAGACAGACAACTTTTTTTTTCTTATTAGTACCGTTTATACTATTTTCATAAGCATTTAGTAAAAAGCTGTTCTTTTGACACTACAACACACACACACACTTCATTTTTTTTAACTGTATAGATTATCCATTTTAACTAACTTCTTATCTAATACTAAACATAAATAGATTAAAATGATCTCGTGTCGGTTCAGAAAATATATATATACTTTTTTATATTATTACTACTCAAAACGCAAGAAACAATTTTTTATTTTGTATTACTGAAATAAAAAAAAAACAATTATATTCTATAATTAAATAAGCAATTTTTCCACGACTGTACCGGTAAGTCGAGCTAAGGCTTAGTCTTAGCGTACATTTTTATAATTTACATTCGGTGCCCGTCTGCGAAACGATACACGTGTAAACAAACAAGTGCAACCATGTCTCACAAACTTGCAATTCTCACATTTACTGCCATCATTACCATTGGATATGGTAAGCTTATAATAATATAATATCTTTATTAGTTATTTATGTGTTCTGTTATGGAAAACCTTTATATTTTATTAATAATCTTATGTAATAATATTATAAAAGAGGTATTTGTTTGTTTGTTTTTAGTTAATCTCTGCAAATATTAAGTTAATTTTCTAATTTTTTTACTATAAAGCTGTATATATTTAGCTAAATAAAACAGCTATTCCCAGTGTTTTATTAAAGTAATATTTAATGATTTAATATTTCTTTTAAATGTTAAAATAATATCTAAGTCAGTCTATATTATGGATCAAGTAAAGTTATTTCTATTACTTAGTTTAAACCAGACCAAAATAATCAACATCATGTATTTAATTTGTGATGTGATTTACAAAAAGTGACTTTAATTCATACTTTTTTATATATTTTTTAATTTCAATTCATTATTTTTTTAATAATTTACTAAACAATTTTTATAAATTTTCTGACGGCGTATCTATCGAATTACAAAATACATAATGAAAGGTTATAGAAATACGTATTATAATTGCTTTTAAGCAATTCAATATTGAAAATCTCCGCATACTTCACATATAGTTATATTACAGCTTGGAGCAATATATAGCAGAAGTCAATAATCGAACCCGCAACTATCGACATAAGACACTGCCAGCACTACCATAACGTCATAGGTCCATCTACATTTATGATAATACAAAACAAATTAAATCAAAATATACTTTATTCAAACTTTTACAAGTACTTTTGAATCGTCATTTTTTACATTGTACGTCTGTGATAGATCTACTAGGCTCGGAAGGCAGTTCTGCTGAGAATAGCCAGCGAGAAACTCAACAGTTGCTCTTTTAAAATAAAAACATTTTTAAATCAATAGGTGTCGAACTGAGCAATTATGATATAAGCAGAAACAGGATAAACGGCGCTCGTAACGGTAAATACGCGTTTCGTATAGTAACATTTTTAACTTCACTATAAATACCATATTCATTAAATTCTACAGTATATGTACTCTATACCATTTATTGAATGTAAAAATATTTTTCATTCCATTTTAAAGTTTACCGATTTCATGTACATCAATAACCATCATAATTTAAATCAGAAGCTCTTTTAATCCGCTTAAGACCTAAGAGCTTTTCACAGATCTGTTATCATTTAGTTATATTACATGCACTAAATAATATTGTGTTTTTGTTTCATATATTGTTGTAAAGCTCACAAATCACAAAGATAAAAACATTGTTTATTTTATACAATGAATATCAATTTCCAATAAGATCCGCTTGATTTGATGACACGTTTGGCTCAGTTTGTAGTGATCCTACTTGCTGTACCAACGGTCACGAGTTCGAATCCCGCTTGGGGCATTCTTTTGTGTGATGAGTACGAATGTTTGTACTCCAATCACAGTTGTTTATATTTATAATATGCATGTATTTAAAGTTATATGTGTGTAGTGTATCAACTATCTGGTACCCATAACAGAAGCCTCGTAGCTTACCATGGAACTCGATAGAACCGCTTGTTAATGTCCCAACATATTTCTTTATATTTATTTATCTGCGATAAAGTAGGATAGTAAAAAGCGAACTAAGAAGGGAACAAGTTAGCGAAAGAAAGGTATTACGCAGTCGGAGGCACACGTTTTATTCTTTTTTTTTCACGTTTTATCCTTTTTTTTTTTTTTTTTTTTTTTTTTAACGTTGGGAAATGCATTTACGCACGACGTGTGGGACTCACCGGCGTAATACAGCCAGTACTACCCACTAAAACCCAACAAAACCTTCCCCCGTCTTAATGGGGCGTCGCAGGATCGCTTGCGCATTCAACTACGACGCCCCGACGGCAGGTCTGCCGAAGCAGACCACCACAACCATGGGGTTGCTCCACAGTCCATTCTGCTATCAGAGAAGTACCAGGAGCAACCCGCATGGTACACCGCCCCCCAAAGAGGGCCACCTCCCACCGCCCACCGAAGTGGGCAACCTCCCTGTGCGTTTCTAAGCTTCGCGCCCGGTTGGGTTGCCGGGCACTACTGAGCCCCCCCACCACGACAAGGTGAACGCACGTTGGGGGGGCACACGTTTTATCCTTGATGCGAGTCTTGCTACGTGTATGTACAAGATATTGTGTCTCCCATTTCATAATATTAATTTTCTTTGCTTACTTGTTCCCTTCTTTTAGTGTTTTACGCATATATTTTTTTTATTTGTATAATTTAATTTATAATTTATAGCTATTTAGTTTTGGCCAGTTAGACATTTGGAAATTTGTTTAAAAATTTATAATTGCCCTTAACTATATTAAACATATAAGTTGTATATATTTTTATGATTGCGTTCCCAAAACTTTTATTTTGATACACCACTGAATAGGGTTGGAAGTAAATTTTTTATTCGAGACACAAATTGGGGCTGCCTATATTCATTCATTATCATTATCACGACGAATCTAACGAAGTAGGTACATATCATCAAGTGTGTCAGTAAATTAAAAAAAGGACTACCAACACAATTTCTTTAACTTATTTAGAGTCAAAAGTTAATTTAAACCCCATGTCTTATTATTTTATGAAGCAATCTTTATACTAAATTTACCGTATTCTGTTCCATAAAAAGTAATATATTATACCATCCCATTTCCCTCTTAAAATGTAAATTTCCAAAAATCCATTCTTAGCGGTTCATTCTACACGACGAAATCTTTTTATCTAACCAAATTTCATGATTCTAGCATTTTAAGGTTATATAGGTCTACAAGGGCCCAGTCACATTTGTACATACATAATATGTGTGTAGAGTATACGTCTTCGAACCCATGGTTATACTGTTTTGTTACACTGGTGTAACTACTGAGCATTAGGTAGATATGTGTGTTTTTATAAATGTTCTTTAAAAGAACTCAAGACACAAACAGATAAACGTATTCACCCTTTTCGCTCCCACCGCTGCGCACGAGCCTCCTTTCAATAAGAGCGATTAGGCCATCACGGTGGCCAAATGCGGATTGGCGGACTTCATATTAATATGTCTTTCGAAAAATTGTTAGATTCTCTCAAACATGCGGGTTTCCTCCCGATATTTTCCTTCACCGTAAGACAAGTGGTCAATCATGTTGGAAATTATTCGCACCTGAAAATATCAGAGGCGAGACTCTAGATTTGAACCCGCTTCACTCGGTTTCCCAAGCGACCGTGCTACCACTGGGCTACCACCTTAACAGACAAACATCTACTGTAAAATATGCGCAAGATACCTACTTTATTACTTATATTTTTTACTATCAAATAAATAATTCACTTCTAAGATTGTGTACATGATATTAACTAAGAACAATGTAAGAAGTATATCACCAAGGTCGAAAATCTTCATTTGAACTCTAAACTACTCATTAATTACCGAAACTAAGGTAATTATCAAGTTTTTAATTTTGTGTTAGTGTTTTTATTAACGTTATGCTATTAGCATTTTAACCGTATCTTTTACCTTAAGTGCGATGCTGCTCATCCTAAAAAAATATAATAAGGATTTTTGAAGCTATAGTCAGTCTTCTCGTCTTGCTACTTCACAGATTTTTTTCATGTTTCCTAGCTTCTATAGAAAACATTTTTCATGTATATAATCATTTTGCCGCTTGCTTTAATTATTATAAATCTAAAATTCCATTAATTCGCTTCGTTAAAACCACGTCATATTTCCTGATAACGCATCCCATATTTCATAACTCATTTCAACATAAAACACTCATGTGTCAAACGTCAAATCCACGTAACAATTACCATTCACTCATTCATCACTAACGTTCAACCCATCAATCATTCAACAGGTTTCACTATAAGAGACATATGGGACTATTTATTAGGAGCAAATTACGGGTATCCGTACGGACATCGCCCTGGGCAGTATCCTGGACAGTATCCCGGGGGATCCGGGCTGTATCCTGGAGGACACTATCCCGGCGGACAGTATGGCGGACATCATCCGGGATTAGAGGGACCCCCTGGTGCACATCCCGGATGTCCTCTATGTGATTCGTCGGTCTACAGCTACTGTTCACATAAACAGGCTCATGACTCTTGTTGCTGCGAAAATAATAACTGTAAGTTTATATTTAAAACACAATTTCATTGCTCTACAAGTATTTTATATTATTGTAATAAATGAATTACAATGTCCATTAAATATTTTTTGGAAAATCTTATTGAAATAGTCATTATTATGGATACAGATGACGAATCTATAGTTTTTAGAATTTTTGTCTGTCTGTCTCGGAACGCATCACTAGAAAACCACTGCACAGATTTTGATTTAATTTGGTACGGTAATAGCTGGTTATCCGGGTCAACTTTTAGGATACTTTTTACTGCGGGGCAGAGCGATGGTGAGTAGCTAGTCTATACATATCATAAAATTGTAACTAAGCCGAATCTGTACATTAATTAATTATTTTTTGGAAAATCTTATTGAAATAGACATTATTATCGATACAGAGGCCGAATCTATAGTGTTTAGAATTTTTTTCTGTCTGTTACCACATCACGGAAAAACCACTGATTTTGATGAAATTTGGTATGATGGTAGCTGGTTATCCGGGTCAACATATCTCATCTCTCATCTCTGAGAAATCTATACTAAACGTTAAAACCTAACTAGGAACGAATCCGAGCGGAGCGAGGGTGAGTTGCTATTTCACTTATAAAACTATCAAGTGGTTGTAGACCGTCTATAATAAAAACGTTGCGAAGCACAAAATATGTCGCTAATAATATATTATGATAAATTATTTTCCTTTACAGACTATCCATTTGGCTGCCGTAAATCCGACTGCAATTTCATCTATGCGAACTCTTGCCAAGAATACCATCTTATAACCAGATGTTGTTGTGTCGACTTAGAGAAAAATGCCGTCGGAGGCCCCATCGTACCGGCTGTAGTCCCTGTAGTAGCTTAATTTCTTAAATTTATAAGTTAAGCTTTAAGCTTTAGCTATGCTCGTGAATTAGTCATCTCACTCTTTTTACTTTATCCCGGATAAATAGAATTTGTCACTTTCAGTCGGTGGCCATGTTGATGAAGCCATTCTTTCCCTATCCTTTTTTGGGATAACATCTCTTTTTTAGGATAACGCCTCTCTTTCTGACAGTGAAAGTATCGTTTAAATTGGTATGGCCGGTAGGTAAAACTGATAAATATCTACAGATTGACATACAAATATATATTAGCCACCTCTTTGCATCATAGCACCGTACTGCCCTACTTGTCCTGTCCCATGAGATAAGTAAATGCTATTCATATGTTCTATAGAATAATACATACCTAATAATGCACCGAAATAAAAAGGGCCTTATTATTGTCATAGACCACGTGCCAAGTTTCATTACGATAGATTAAGTTGTCGTGAAGTAATAAATAAATGGATTTTCGCTATACTACCTATATGTAGTTTAAATAAAAGAACATTTTTTTATATGAATAAACTGATGTCATCATTTTTTATTTAACATTTTTTCATTTTCATCAACAATCAAAAAGTACTAGATACACAATCAGCGACAAAAAATGTCCTCACCGAATGAGCGCTTATTTGAACATTTGAGCGCGCTTTTCTGTTTATTCTTTTTTTTGTGAAAACTAAGCGTCGCATTTAAGGTTCAATTTACATTGTTGTATCTTTATTTCAACTAGATAATTACCTAAACACAATTGGTAATATAGTTTTATGAGAACTTTTGCATAGGATTGTGTATCTTCTAGTACTTTTTTGATCGATAACTTTCATCTAAAATCTTCATATTTTATTCATTCCATTATACATTCATAAGTACGTAATTGTATCGTTTAACTCAACATACATTTTATTAAGTAGATGTTAAATATAACATATAATAGGTTTTTTTATAATTAAATGATAATTTTATATTATATAAGAAATAAAACAATTGACAAATGTGTGATGTTTTTATTTTCACCTAAAAATCATAAATAATAATGTTAACTATAGTTTATAATTTATTAGGCGCTTTTTCTAAATAATTTTCGATACCTACCTATTAAAAAACAAAAAACAGCACGTACGTCACTTATTCTTACAGTAACAGTTTAACAGATTATAATCAAACTATCTCCATTTTGAATTTCATCCCAAGCTAACAAATAGGATATTATCGACGTTCCTAAAGTACGTAAAGGCAGCCACGGACTAAAAGCAGTACTTAACATTTATATAATACTTAAAAATTAGCATACGAAAATGCCACAAGTAATAGTTAAAAAAAATCTTTTTGCCTTAAATACCCTTTGTAAAAAATCATTCATTTTTAACTAAATATATAAACAGGTACATTATGGTTTACCGCAACACAAAACCGCCAATTATGACTTGATTATAAATTACATACATATAAGCACTAATCTATACATATAATAAAATTCTGAATCGAATCTGTACATTAACTATTTTTTGAATAATCTTATTGAAATAGTCATTATTATCGATATAGAGACCGAATCTATAGTTTTTAGAATTTTTGTCTGTCTGTCTGTTACCGCATCACGATAAAACCACTGGACAGATTTTGATGAAATTTGGTACGATGATAGATAGTTATCCGTGTATATAGGAGACTTTTTACTGCGGGATGATATCTCATCTCTGACAAATCTATACTAAACGTCAAAAACATATCTAGGGATGAACCCCAGCGGAGCGAGGGTGGGTCATTAGGTCATATTTCTAAATCTCAGACCAATAAAAAAGTATTTATAGGTCTGAGTTCTAAATAGCATAAAACACTATTTATACATATAAATCTCAATTTTAGCTTTTTTTTTATTTACTACTTTTTAACCGATCTCTGTGTAAGTTCCGTCAGTCTGTATGTCCCAGCCATTTTACTACGCGGCTGTTGGTAAGCAGTTATTATTAAAACTGAATTTTCAACAGTAATCAGTACTGTAATCAAATTACGAAAAAATCTCGGTATCCGCCTTTAACTTAGGTATATTATTTATTTTGGTTGAGTTAAGTACTTACTTTTATAGATACCTATTATCTACTTTTGTGATATTTTTCGCTTTTATGAAATACGAAGTTTGTTATTCATAAATGAATATTACAGATCGAAATATATATTATACTAGCATTGCCTGCGGCTCCGCCCGCGTTCAGATGACCAAAAACCAAATTCTTAGGTTTTACATATTATTATACTCTTACATTGCAGTTTTTGTATTTTTTCTCAGAAATGGGAAACCCTGCGGTAAAAAGTATCCTATATGTTGACCCGGATAACCAGCTATCACCATACCCAATTTCATCAAAATCCCTCTAGTGGTTTTTCTGTGATAACAGACAAACAAAAATTCTAAAAACTTCGGCCTTTCTATCGATAATAATGTCTATTTCGATAAGATTTTCCAAAAAATATTTAATGTACAGATTCGGCTTAGTTACTATTTTATTATATGTATAGATTTACAGCTTAAGCTCATTATATTTAGCTTAATTGATATACACTATACAGTAAAACTCGGACTTGTTTTTTTCATTTATTAGCATTAAAGAAGTCAATCTCATGTAAAACCAAGCTCTGCTTATAATAATTCAATTAAAAAAAAGAACAGAAGTGAAAACTTATAACTTTGGAATAACTGTGTTTTTAATTTTTAATTTATTTATAGTAGGAATAATTAATATTTCATAATTTGTAAATTGAAATTATTATAAGTCTGGTTTTCACATCCATTGGCACTCCGAGTAATAATTATTTAAGTACATTTTGATATAGTTTATTCATTAATGAAAACATGACGCTGCGCGTCGCCACTCGTTAGTCTGCGCCAGACCATAGAGTATATTGCTACCATAGACTATTGCTACATATGCGCCAGACTATGTCGATACGTCACATGTAGCATGTCGATGACGCGAACAAGTTTTGCGCCTACCAAAAATCACTCATCGAACTCATCGCGACTAAAGAAGTTTTTACTACAAAAATAATATAATCTTATTAAAATCATCTCAGCCAATTCAGTCATGAACTACTAAATATAGTGGTAAGTTATATTGGCTAAGCCCTAAATTAATAAGATAGCCGAAGAATATTATAGAAGTATAAATGAAGATAAACGAAACTTAAATATAAGAAAGAAAATGTATAAATATATATAAATAAATAAAAATATGTTTAAGTTTTTACATTTTTACATCGCAAGTTTAATTAGGTACCTTTTTCTCTTCATATAGTGCGAATACTGCGACAGGAATGGTGGTACAGCTAATTATAATACAATTTCAGCCTTCAATCTCAAATTAATCAATAAAAATTCAAAACATCTTCGATACGCCCGCTTACCGTCTTATACAAAATGGCGACAATTTTTTTTTTATTGGCAACACCACATTTAAAATAGCTAAATAATAACTAAAAACTACTGGCATTTAAAACAAAGGGTATAATTAAATCTAAAATAAAACTGCAATATCGTAAAATTACGTTTACTTAATACTAAGATACAAAAATTATCTTGTCTTACATTGAAATCGATGCAAAATATTACATTTTGCTACTTAGTAACTCGAAGCCTATTCGCCTATGGTGCTGACACAATATGACCGATGTACAATATTACAACTAATTGAAAATATTATTTGGCTTTAATCATCACAATGAATATGTATAAATATTATAATAGTGAGTGTTTGTGAGAATGTATGGATGTTTGTTACTCATTCACGGCTAAACGGATCTGGGTGAAATTTGGCACAGAGATAGAGTACAGTCTGAAATAACAGATAGGCAACTTTTTATCCCGCAAAATATACGGTTCTCGAGGGATAGATTTGTTTTTGTTTTTCGAGCCGCTACTTTGCAATATTTACTTGTATCCATACAAATGAAATAAAGAATGGGATTATAAATGGCGGACACTATTCACTCATATAATTAATGTATAATTTCCCTAATATTTTCTATTTAGTTTTAAACTAGCATTAATGTTCCTAGATAACATCTAAAGGTAGTAAATTTAAAAAATATATGCAATATCTTTAAAAAGAATATTACATTTAAATTACATTTTATTGTTATAAACAAAATAATTATTCATAATTTTATCAGCGAATCCAAAATTATATGTAACTTGATTGTAATATTATGCTGACACAATACAGGCTCAATGCGAACGCCATTCCTAATCCTACTCTTTATTTGCACATGTAATATGTATGTATATCCATCGATCAAAAAAGCGACAAAAAATGTCCTCACAAATAAGAGCCCATTTGAACATTTGAGCGCACTTCTGTTTTGTGAAAACAACTTTAAGCATTGCGTCGAAGGTTCAATTTACATTGTTGTATATTTATTTCAACTAGAAGAATTAACTAAACACAATTGGTGACAGTTTTAAGAGAACTTTTGCATGGGACTGTTTATTTTTAATCAATGATGATGTTCTCCTGACCGATTCGTGTACGCGCAGACACAAGTGCACTCTCTATTCCTGTCACTCTCATACTCCGGTGGGACGACCACTCGACCCGACCAGTGAGAGTGTCGGCGCAGGACCGACGGCTTTACGTGCTCTCCGAGGCACGGGGGTGAAACACCGCCAACTTCCCAACTCCAGGTTGTTACTGAGGCTTACTATACAGAAAGACTCAATAACTAAACTTGGCCTGACTCGGGACTCGAACCCGGGACCTGCGATGTGCAGCCGTACATGCTAGGCACTATACCACCGAGGCAGTTGTCCAAAGTCCCACAAATCATAAACACCTATTCGAGTATATCGAGAAATAAAAATAGAAATGTTCAGTTCAAAACTACATAAAAACCTCATACATAAGCGTTAAAAAGTAATTCTTTACACAAATTCAAAATTCACAATCGAAAATGACCACAGACGAAGCAAATAAAACATTTGCATCACAAGTTTACACCGTATTAGGCAATATTGTATATCTGTCATATTGCAATAGCTAATACACTGTTCTGTTGCATCCATACAATTGAGATGTCACAGAAACTCCGTTACAAAAAATTCAAATGTCTGTATTACATGTAACTCACCGACAACATTCAACATTTAAAACATGTAACAGAAAAGTTAAGCCAAGTTTAGACTACGACACAAATTGCGACATAGATGTCAGGTATTTAATCTGTACTGTTGACACTTACTAAATTTTATAGTGTCTGTATAATAAATGTACGGAAATTGTGTCCAAGCTGTTCACAATCTTTGCTCCACATGAAACTCATTTTTAAGTATTGAAAATATCGAACCTGCTCAACCACACGAGCTAAACACAGCTGCTGACACGACACTAATTATCGTGTCGGCAATAAATTTCACAATTAGAGACACTCGAGTTCAAACATACACTCTGTGTATACACTGAGTGTACCGTATATAGTGTCTTAGCCTAAACTAAACTTTAAATTTGCACATTTGAATAAGCCATCTTAGATACTCATGTAATTTGGCTGTAAATTGTTTTTTCCTTATGACGAATATTAAAAATATGACCGTTATATGACTGGTTAGAGCCATATTGAATCAGATCGTTGTTTTGATTTTTCAACGCATTCGGTAGTGGTTCTTCTCTTGCACCTGACAAAGTTCACCTTTGAAAGATATCTCCACTTCGAAGTCGAGGTCGCGGTTGTTACGCGCGTTCTGTCGCATCGAAAACGTGCCTGTTATTTCTTCGCCCTTTTTAACCTGGAATAGAAAATCATATATTTTTATGTTTATAAAATAAATAAAATGTCACTTGAAGATACTTAAGAGACCGCTTTCTGAGCCGATGGTGGCTTCCTCACGGACAGAATTTCTTTACAGAAAACTCAGTAATGGCACTTGTCCCGACACGGGACTCGAACCGAGAATCTTGGAATAGACGTACATGCTAAGGTACAGGGGATAGCCGATATAGGTGATAGATGAAATGCAAAAATAGTATATTATTTTTTAAGTTAGGTTAGCTAACTATTCTTTATCACACAAAAACAAAAATACAAAAAAAATAAGCAAATAAACAAAGAATTATCACAATTATTCTTTATCACACAAAAACAAAAATACAAAAAAAATAAGCAAATAAACAAAGAATTATCACAATCCAATTACTACTTTCTGAGAAATGCATGGACAAACAAACAAACAAACAAACATACATACACCTATAAAATTTTATATATTTGTTTGGAAGCCCTAATATAAGATAATCATATGTGAATATTTTGCAGTTCCAATATTATTACATACATATGTATCGTATTGACAGCCTCCTTTTTAGAATATCTTAGCAGAAAATCTCAGTAATCAAACTTGACCCGGGACTCGGAACCCAGGACCTCCGTATCTGCAACCGTACATGCTACCCACTAGACCACCGAGGCTCACCGTCATATACTCGTCGAAGTAGAAGACCGTCTGTTTCCAGTGCGTGTATGGCGCCTCGGGCGCGGTGCTGAAGCCGAGCCGCTTGTGCGACTTCGTGAACTCCACGTTGAAGAACGTCACTAGCGCTTGGATGAAGTCGTTGCGACGCACCTGTTGTAGAAGATAAATATTATGATATTAAATGAGCAATTCTTGTATCCACATTAAAATAATATTATAAATGTGAAAATTTGTTTGTTTGTTTGTCTGTCTGTCCTTCTTTCACGTTGGAACAGAGTGACAGATTGGCGTGATTTTTTGTGTGGAGATAGTTGGGAGGGCTGGAGAGTGACATAGGTTTTACCGCGGGAGATTATCTAATCCCCACAGGAAAACACGTTATAATGCAACCCAAAAAATATGTTTTATCAGAACTACTGGAAACTTGGTATTAATGTTCTTCAATACAATTAAATAAATACGTGTTTTAGTATTTTTCAAAATTTATGCCATAAGGGGGTAAGATAGGGGATGAAAATTTATATAAAATCTATCTTTTTAGTTTTTATTTTTGTAGTCTTAGCGCGAGCGAAGCCGGGGGTTCCGCTTGCATACATATGTATGTGAAACGGGTTTAACGATTTTAATCCAATTTTGTATTTATATAGGAAGAAAAAGGCAAAAACTGTCTTTACCTATTTATATATAAATTACTCACACTAGTGGAACCGTGTGTCTATGTTAGTTACTTAGTAGGTTACAGTTGAGAATCGAAAAACAAATAAATTTTTTACTAAAGTGTTAATTAAAATGCTTTTTTTTAAAGATTAAATCAATCACACAAACATATTCGCATATTATGTTTTGTACTTGTTATTATCATAGAATTATAATTATATTAGAATTATATACAAAGCAACAAGCTAAATTTCCATATACAAAACATTTTACTCTAAGACAACATAATATTAGAGCCACAATTACTAAAATGAGAAAACGAGGCACAACATATACAATGAAATAAATTAAAAAAAAAACCTGCGTGTGTACTTATGTACACACGTAAGAAGTTATACTCCTTCGGCGTAAAAGATTGAAAATAACTAAAGATTTTATCCCGTATGTCACAACTCTGTTTGTAGAAAGAATGCAGCTAACTTCATCATGTCGCTTTTTGGCTGTCGGTGTGCGCGCGCATTTAAAAAATTTACTCTCATAAAATTTTCCAAACATGCCAAAAAAAGTATAACCTCAAAAAAACGAACGAGACGGTGCTGTGTGTTAATGTCCCAACATATTTATTTTACTTTAAAAAAAAATTTAAGATGCAGGAAAATTACTCATCTCTGAGAAATCAAAACGTTAAAACGTAACTAGAGACGAACCCAAGGGGAGCGAGGGTGAGTCGCAAATATTTGATATATAATGAATCTAGTATTAACTATTACAACAAAAACATATAAATTACATGAGAATAGTCACTGTATTATAAGATTTTTTTAAAAGCTTTTAAAGCTTACCTGAAGATGGAACTTTGATTCAAAGTTCAGATCTTCTTTCTTAACTGTATATAAATCTATTTCCTTCAAAAGGCAAGAGTTTGTGACCACCTGAAAGAATAAATAAAATTTTAAACATGTAATACTTGAAAATATATTACATACAAAAATAAAAAAAGCACTTCTTTATGATTTGATTAATATATTAAAAATTTTCTCATAATTATTACATACATATAATAATAACAACAATAGCATTGCATAAATAAGATTTCTATTTATTATTAAAAAAAAGACAATTAAAAAAAACAAATAACAAGGTTATTCATATAATTTTTTTTATTAAAATACCTGTTTAGCATCCACAACATCCACAAGAGGCTCTGATATGGCCACTTTCCTGATCGACGACATGTCAAAACCATACACATCGTCCCACCAGTTAATCTTCTCATCCTTGTACTGACGGTCCTCAATTCCACATATGAAAAGTGTGCATCTAAAATGAAATATATTAATCCCATTAATTAACCCATAGATCCCATACTATATCTGTATTATTTATTTAATTTATAATATTATAAACGTGAATGTTTGTATGTATGGATGTTTGTTACTCTTTCACACCAGAACGGCTGAACATATCTGGATAGATATATATGAAACAGAGTTTATTGAAAAGATAATTTTTTATAGTCTGAAGTTTTATTCACAACTTTAATGATCACATATATCTATTTATAAAGTAATTATTAAAAAACAGAAGTAAAATATTTGCTATTCCTTCATATCTTCTCCATTCTACATGATGATGCTTCCACACAGCAGTAAAAAAAATGTTCGATAACATTAGATAATATTTTTAATACAATTTTTTTTATCATTCGATAACATGTTACCTAACTTTAATTTTATAAAATATTGACAACTTTGTTATGTTGTTTGTAAGTGCTAACTTGAAGCCATTCATGAGAAAATTGAATTGAATATTTTTATTAAATTCTTTAATGAATGTTTTTATATAATACTAGCAGTACCCACGTCTTTGCCCACATTCAAACTACTAAAAAAACAAACTCTTTGACACACCGACCGCAGCGTCTCCTACCGATTCCATTTGTGAATTTAAACCTTGCAGGGACCTACCCACTTGAACATACACAAAAAAATATCATTAAAATCGTCCTTGCCCTTTAGGACATCAGTGTCATACAAACAGCAGCGCCATCTACAGAGTCCAATTGTGTTTTCAAACCATCCAGGAGCCCATTGAAATATATACACAAAATTTCATCCAAATCTAGCCATTTAGGAGGAGTAAGGTAACAAACACACATACAGAAGAATATAAATATATATTAAAATGTTGTTTATTGCTCCTTTGTTGCAGTTTTCATATTTATTAAATATCTCACACATTGATGGAATAACTTAATTTAAATATTATTATTTCAAGTCTTACCTATCTGGGAACAGCATGCCGTCATCTTTAAGCCACTTATCCCGTGCATACAGCACAGTATCCAACATGCTCTCATAGAAGAGGCAATAACCCATCCATTCAGATATTATTATATCAACTTTTTCTACAGGCAATTCTACTTCTTCAACCTAAAAAAATATTTTAACTGAACATTTTTCCTAAGAACTGTAAAACTAAAAAGTTTACACTTGTTTTAAGCTTCCAGGGTAATTTAAAATTATAAAAATAAATATTAAAATATGCAATAATTAACTTATAAATAAACATTCTTAAAAAGTCAACTTACTTTTCCCTTGACAATTTCTATAATATCATCAAGTCTATTGGCTTCTACAATCTTCCGAGCATAGTCAACTATGTTGGAGCATTCAACTGCTATAACTTTAGCTGCACCTGCCTTAGCTGCAAACATTGACAGAATGCCTGTGCCACAGCCAATATCTAAAACTGTCTATAAAAAAAATTTTAAATTCATTAAATATACACAGCTCAAATATATTCTAGGCTCCATGAGGATTATACTGGGCCAAGCAGTTTTAATAAATAATAATGGTAGGTAAAGTTTTTTAGACAAGTGACATTAATTAAGCATATTTTATGTAAAATATGGATAAGAAAATATTTTAAATTTGCGTATTACTAACTTTCCCTTTGAATAGATGTCTATTATGGTACATAGCGTTTCTATATGTGAGGGTGCGCACTTCATCTTTTAGCATCTCCTCGTGAATGCCAAAATGTGCGTAAGAGTCAAAATAATAGTCCCGTGAGGTCATCTCTTCTGCTGTCACAGTTTTATCTGGTCCTACAAGCAATAAGTTTCGAATTATAGAAAAAAGACCACGACACAAAGAAGCACGTTTTCGCCGCACGAAGTACCGGCTTCATGTATATTATTTTCAATAATTTACCATTTTCAGTTGCTGGTGTAGATGCTGTAGAAGTGCTCTCTTGCGCGACATCCATGCTTTCCATGTTAAACAAAATTAAGAATAGAATGCAGGCAGAAAACAATATAAAGCGTAAGTATATAACCTGCAACTTCACAAAGTACGCTAAATCGATCTGTCACAGACAAAATTTAACGAGTATTCTTACTTCAGGTAACTGGTTTAATACCTTATCACTACTAGCCTAAAAATACTATTAGAAGACTATTTTTAGAGTAAATATCACAATTTACAAAATGCTTAGAGCAATATCTGCTAAAACAGTTACTACCACAGACCAGGAACAACAAGAGTTACAACAAAGAGCAAACCAAACCAGTATTCTCCTTAATCTGTGGACTGTGGACTGAGCAAACGCGTCTTTAGAAACATGGATGACAAATGAAGTTTTAAGATATAGAATAAATATCTAAGCCTTATAGTCTGTTGTTTAGTCACGAATTAAATATTAGAACGCCTAGAAATTTAAATCTAAGGTTTAAAAATATTATTAAAACATTTAGGAAATCATCATTAATGAAAAAATCGTATAATATAACGTTTTTTATTCATTAAAAATTATTTGACCATAGATTCACAGCAGCCGAATAGTAATTAGTAATACATTTAATGGGCAATGGCATGATAGGCGATAGCATTCAAACCTAGGTCGATCTCGGTTTTGTTAACCGACTTCCAAAAATGAGGAGGTTCTCAATTCGTCGGAATCTTTTTTTATATATGATCACAGATTACTCGAAGACGCCTAAACCGATTTGGATTTTTTTTTTAGACTTCCAGGCACTAAAATGTAAAAAAATAACTAAACGGGAGTTTTTATATTTTTTTTAGAATATATACTTAATTAGATATTTTCGAAGTCAGTACTAGCCGACAATATTTTAATGCATTGTATGAATATTTGTATGTAAGGACGAAGCAAAAAAAAATCAATTATTAAAATGATTTAAAAGGTTCATTGTAATAATTTAACCAAAATATTCATGTATATTTAAAACAAAACACCATCCCGCTGTGTTTATTCATTTAATAGTCCTTTCGTGTCTGAAGTGCTAGTATTAAATAATAAAACAAAAAATTAAAACCTACTTTTTTATTTTATTTTTAAATAAAAATAATTTTATAACGAAAAATGAAAACAATATAAAACCAATAACGGTTGCTGAATACCGATTATTTTACGATAAAATAAATCTCTACTTAATCGTCATTAATACCGATTCTTAAATCACTACGAACACGAACTAAATTGCAGATGACGTCATTCTGTTAGAGAGGGATCCGTGGCGACTCGATAGAAATACAATAGCCGTGAAAGTGACAGCATATATTGGACTTGCCATTTATGCCATATCTACCCCCAAATTAAGAGAAATATCCAATAGCTCTAAAAATATATAAATCGATTTGTATAACATAATATGGACTTACGAGTATGTTTATGGATATTTTATGTTTAATATGAAGTATAATTAAAATATAAAATTATTCGATAATAGCTAAACTAATTTAGAATAGTATAATATAAATCAATATATAATACATATAATTTATAAAAAAAAAAACATTTTAAGCATATTTAACTTACGTATATTTTATGATATAATAATAAAAATTGTAATGGTTAAATCGGAGAAAAAACGAGTTGAATTAAAATTTGAATGAAAGCTTAAGTATAGAGCAGTCATACTTAACCTTTTTTTATAGGGGCCACAAACACGTTTCAGTCATGGTGTCGAGGGCCGCAAGCAAAAATTATTTAGGTCTTAATGTAAACGTAGTTCCAAGTTAACGATGTAGTTAGTTTTTTAACAAAGATATGTTGTAATGCGATTTTAGATGCCGCATGCTGCCCGCGGGCCGCAGGTTGAGTATAGCTGGTATAGAGTATAGATTATATCTACAAAATGCTGGTTTGTAACACCAGAAGAGGGCGTTATTTGTCATATTACACATGTACATATTATTAATATAAAATACACCTGTAGCCTACTTAGTTTTGTTTTTATATTGTTCAATTAATTAACTATTAACAAATTTTATTTTGTTAATTAATGTATGAAATAATCGATAATTATTTGTAATAATCGATACAAAACAAATCGAACATCACTACTCGTCTGACGCTATTATATTCGCGCCAAATATAAACTATGGCCCGAGATTTATTTACTTGTAAACTTTCAATTTTATTGAAATAATTTAAAATTAAAATAATACAAGTGAATGTAATGTAATAGATTGTAATTTGTAATACTATAATATTTTTTTATAATAATGAAAAGCTACATTTAAAACCGCAACTGAGTTTTAACTTTTACGCCTCCTACGCAGTTCAAAAAAAGGAAATTAATTGTAAAGGTATGAAACAAATATTATTATTTTTGTGAGGTATTTTTGTAAATATAAATTACTTGCTATTTTTTTTATAACAACCCATTATATAAAATATTTTTATACAGCAAAGCCTTAGATTATTCATATAAATAATCTAAGATCAAAACTTATAAGTACCCTATAACATCGAAGAAAAATTAATAATTAAAGCTTTCTCAGACTTCAAGTTAAAGACCAAATCGATGAATGAGAACTAGGAGTAGGGGTACTACAGTTAGGTACCTAGCTGTAGAAACCTCACAGACAGACATATTGGTATAACTAAAGTAAAATAAATATGAAATTATGAAAGATTAGGAATGACCGTAGATTTTTCAACCGGCTAAGTTAAATCATTAGAACACTTCGATTTACGTTGAAGATATGTAGCTAATGATGTCAATATAATTTTGATCTAGATTCTAAATGTGGTTTTATTTTGGCCCTTATCACCTAATAATTCGATATCTTATCAAGCATCGATATATGTCATACTTGTCATACATATTATGTATGTATATTAAAATAAATGCGTTCACCAATAGTGACCAGTCGCTCGGCTACTCTTGTCGCGGAAGTACGTGTGTGGTTACAATAATTCTGTCATACGTATTTTCGTATTATATACTGAAGTTTATTTTTTAATAATGTGCCAGTGAATTGTTATTTTGAAGTACATATATTTTTTGCCCGTTTTTTATATCATAAATAAGGTAAGTACTCTAGTTTTTTAACATGTTTTTCATTTTATTTACTGAAATATACATATAGTATTTAATATATTAAATGTTCTTAACAAGAAATTTCCCTGTTATATTTAAAAACTTTTAGATTAAATAATATAAATACTATTATTTAGCGTTAAGTACCTAATTTAATTAAATAGGCAGTGGTAGTCCAGTGGTAACGCGCTCGCTTGGGAAATTGAGTGAAGTGGGTTCAAAACCCGGGTCTCGCACCGATATTTTCATGTGCGAATATTTCTAACATGATTACCACTTGCCTTACGGTAAAGGAAAACATCTTGAGGCAGGAAATCTGCATGTCTCAGAGAACCTAGCAAGTTTTCGAAAGACATACAGTCCGCCCACCCGCATTTGGCCAGCGTGGTGGACTATGGCCTGATCCCTTCGTATTGAAGGGAGGCCCGGGCCCAGCAGTGGGATGGTGAAAAGGGAATACATACAATTAAATTTAAAGATTATAACTAATCAAATTATTTTAATTTGCTCATCATTGCTTACATAAGTGTTAAACTGAAAAATCAAAAACAGTGGTCAAAAGGTCTCATGTATCTGCCAGCATGAATTTATCATGCTGTTAGATACATAAGACCCCGTTAAGTTTATTGTGTATAATCAGTTTAAAGCATATTTATCATGCAACACGTGTTGTAGGCTTAACTCATAGGTACTTGTAGCTCTACATGCTATTTCATTTAATGGGCATTTGTATAATTTAATGAACTTTAATATGAGCTCACAGGTTTTATTTATAATAGAAATATTGGATAAAGTAAAAAAGCAAAATTTTCTATTAAATTTGTCAATAAGGTCACTTCGGGCTAGACAGAGACTATAATATATAAGAAATCTATTGGATTCCAGCATGCTTTTTTAACCAAATACGCAAACAACTACGATTTTTTTAACTGAATACGAAAAAACTTAGATTGAAAATTTAGACTTCAGACTTTGTCATTGTGGCTTAATTTTTTCCGCTCAGTAGATTAAATATAAGCTTCCTGAATTCAGATAAATAATATAATTGTTTTACCATCCATTACATTATCATATTGTTTATTTTGGGAAAACAAAAAGATAATAGAGTAATGAAAATTTTACATATTAACTTAATTTCTTGAAATTAAAAATATATTGTAACTACACTTAGTTTAACGACTAACGATCAGTATAACATGAGCAATAATTATCTGAAATATGTTAGTTATTACTAGGATTTGTTAAAACTTATTTTGGAGCATCACGAACTTTTTCGTTCGTTGCGAAACAAAGATTTTCATAAAAATAAATACATAAAGTCATAAAAGTAAATACGAACTACTTACTACAGTCAACACTCTACATAGTACATACATACCTACATACATATTATCCTTAACACTTATCGTCACATGGGGTGCTCTTAATGAATAACAAATAGTGTCGTGATGGTCGAAATATTACACTTTTCTCCGACCAGGCTCTCATTCGCGGTTGACAAATGTGCCAACTCGCCGAGTAGCCGAGTATAACGTGCGTTAAGGAACTTTGTTCCAAAAATATTAAATATTTTATCAGCATTGAAAGTAATAATTAACTAATAAGTAATCGTTTAATTTTAAATCAAAAACGAAACGAAAAAAGTCTAAATCTTTAAACGCTCATTCCTACAAGTTGTGATTTTTGAGTAGCATATTTTTATTTTTCAGCGTCCGATTTCATGTATAGATTTCAATTTGTTACTTTATTATATGTATAGACAAAATAACTGAACAGATATATTGGCTTACATTTTTATAAATCTTTATGTAAACACTTAGGTTGTTGGCTTTCTTTCTTAGTTTACTTCTTTTAGTTTGTTTATTTTTAGTTGGGAAGCTTTGTTAAATGTATTGCTCTCTCGCTTTGTAGATTTTAAAATAGCAAC